GAAATATTTGAAAGAAACCGAAATTGTGGAAATCGGTTTTTGTTTCATTTTAACCTCGTTTGAGGTGATATTGAAAAAAGAAGAATACTTTCTCATGGCCACTTTTTGCCCTCTATCGAATGGCATAATCAATTTTTATATGTAACTATTCGTCTCTCCAGGACCATCATCAACTTCATTTTTTTAAATACAACCCTAGATATTTGATTACATTTTTTGCAAGTCTTCTTGACCCCCAATATTGTACTGCCTCAGCCCGAACCAGTTTCAGACGTTTTTGTCTCGAAAAATTCATCTTCAGTGCATTCGTTCCAAATTTATCTAAATTTTTTATTTAAATTTCTTTGTTTATTGAATTATCGTCCACTGTAAGTGTTGTTAGACGCCGTGAAATCCATCTAGTTATTTAAACTATTACCACCACGTGTTACAATAAAACATTTATTATTATTATTAACTATTACCATCACTTGATAACTTATCATATCTCAATAAGTAGTTGCGTCAAAATTAAAACATTATTACAATTTTAATTTTATTATGACCAATTAATTCTTAAAAATGCATAAGAACAACCAAAACGCCAACTGAATATTATTCTTTAAAAAAATCTCAGTAAGTGTTCAAAAACATTTTCATTTTGTCCAAGGTGGAAAATGAAGATCAGCGTAATATTATCGGAATTTATTATATCCGTAACCGCAACTGTGAAAGAGCACAGATGTGTGTACTGAAAAAAAAAAAAATCGGAATTTGTTTGAATTTTGAGCACTTGAGAAGCCTAGAAATAATTATGGATACGGGAATAAAACTCTAATAATGTTTTATTTTAATGCGTGGTGGTAATATTCAATAAACAAAGTAATCTAAATAAAAAATTTAGATAAATTTGTAATGAATACACTGAAGATGAATTTTCGAGACAAAACGTCTGAATCTGGTTCGGGCTGAGGCACTACAGTATTGGGGGTCATGAAGGCTTGCAAAAGATGTAATAAAATTTCCAGGAATAAATATAAAAATTGATTATGCTATTTCATACAGGGAAAAAAGTGGCCAAGAGAATGTGTTCTCCTTTTTTCTATATCACCTCAAACAAGGCCGAAATGAAACAAAAACGGATTTCCAAAATTTCGGTGTTTTTCAAATATTTCGAAAACTAATCATGTTAGCCTTGATTTTGTAGAGGCATAATGTTGGTCTTTGCCCCCATTTAAGCTACTTCGTAGCTCTTACTGTTTCCGAGATCCCTGTAGTGAGAAGGGTTCCGGGTTCTAATCATAAAAAATAAAAGCTATGAATTTTATTTTTTATGTTTAATTTTTTTTCAATGACAAGCTTAAATGTAAATTTAATGAGTGATTATAAATCATGTTATCTAAGTTGTTTGCGTTGGTATTAAAATAAAAGTTTTATGTGCCCAAAATTCTTAATCAAATGATAAATTTAATTTTTATATTTGTTCAGATAAAAAAAAATATTACATATGAATGAGATCGTTAAAAGTGCAAAATTAATGTAAGTGGAACAAACAGGTTATGAAACATGGCGAATTATCAACGACCTGAACGCAAAATCCTTAAAAAATTGCCCTTCGAGGTTGTGGATCCCAAAGAAGATGAATTTCCTAAATTCAACTTTTGTGAGTATTGTTTTATTAATTTAATTTTTTGCTGTCATTGTTGGTAGACCAAAATTGTCTCGCGATATTTTCAAAAGGAACAATAGACAAAAAAAAAAGATATATTTTTACAGGAAGTTTACGATTTTTTTATTCATACTTTAAATTTAGCCTATAGAATATAGAACTTATGCAAATTATTCAAATCTCACAAGTTGGGTAAACGTAGGTGAATGATACTGTTTTGTACCCAACATATCTATTTCATCAAAAAAATTAAGATAAATATAAATCGGATTCTCATAAGATTTGTAAAATTTCTTTACTTGGATCTCACATACTTCATAATATTCCAAAAAATAAGCACTTTAATTATAATATCGCACACAGGATGTTTCTGAAATAATTACGTACCTTCGGTAACAGATGACGTGAAAATAAACAATTTCCATTAAACAACCTGTAATCTAACGTGTCATGTCCTGAAAATTAGTCACGAATTATTACGCAAAACTTACGCCGACCTTCCATCGACCCACTTAATCAACTGATCAACTGTTTACAATTCAGTAACTAGGTCAAGTTCAGTGTGGTTATTCGTACGGCGCGGGCGCGGACGTGTCTTGCATGCTCTCGTCGACTGTAGACTTACTTTGTTTTATTTCAAGATGCCTTATTCAGATCAAGAATTAGTGGAAATAGTATTCATGTACAGGGAGTGCGAATATGATTTAAATACGACTTATCGTTTGTAGGTTGCTTAATTAATGTTGTCTATTTTCATGTCCTCTCTATTACCCCTTCCAAGAAACGCGTTCATTTCAGACACTCTCTATAAATAACATAATCAGAAACTGTGGTTTTGTCAGAATTTTTTTCTCAGTTTTAATCATTAAATATAGAGGTGTAGAGTTTACTTAGTGTCATTATTTCGACTTGTCACAGTGGCGTAACATTTATTATTTAAAGAGTTGCCAGAAATGAAGTTTGTGCGCCACTGGCTTTTTGTATTTATATGAAATTACACCAGCAGGTGGAGGTTCAGGTTAGTATTCTTGATCACTAATTAGAAAAAAATTACTTAACCAGACTTCGAAATATGCCCGTTAACTTTTGCAACTTCAACACCCCGTACAAAACTGACAAAACTTTATTCAAACTAAGCATCTTAATTCCCGTAGTAGTAACGTTGGGTTGGGCAACCTAACACCTCGTATAAAATGTCATAATCTTTCGTTTTACTATCCATCCTGAAAATATAGCGATTCAGTTTGAATTATTTAAAAAAAGTAAGTAGGAATATATTCCTATTTGTGGCGGAAAATCAAAAAGTATATAGGGTATAAATCTGAGCGTTGAAGTGGTTACCTATATTTTGCATTTAAAGCATCTTATGATAACGAATATATTTTGGTCCTTAGATGGTAAGAATTTTGTTTTCGTGGGTCCCAAGAGGTATTTTCAAACAGCTGCTTACAAGAAACTAGGTCTCGGCATTTACAATTTCGAAGCCAGGCCCGATGATGTCTATCTACTTGGACATGCAAGATCAGGTAATACCACAAAGTTTCTTGAAGCCAGTTTTTGATTAAGTCAAATTTATTCGTAGGAACTACGCTTTATGGTGAAATGATATGGTTGATAGGAAATGACTTGAACTATGAGGAATCTGCAAAGAATTTCATAACGTACAGATTTCCACATATCGAGTAAGTGGAGATAATTCGTTAGCACAAATAAGTAAATGAATCTCAAATAGTATTTTCACTTTATTTAGTATGTAATGTGAAAATTTCTTAACTCGAATGTTTTTTTACTTCGAAAATGTTATTATAATAATAGTTTTCAGTTTGTTCACATTTCATAGGAGGGAACAATTTAAGGAAATTTCGGAAAGTAAAAACGCGACAGGAGATGGTAGATATTTCCAGCAAGTACCTAGAAATGACTTTGGAGGGGCTAGCAGAAAGGAAGGGTAGGAGGTTCATAAAATCTCATCTACCTGTTAGTTTGATGCCTCCCCACATGTTTGAGGTTGGAGCCAAGGTACATAATTTGGGTTACTTTCTTTGCTTTTTGTTTAATAAGTATTTTGGTAATCGTCCTTTTAGGTCATCTACTGTGCAAGAAATCCAAAAGATATGCTAGTGTCTTATTTCTATGCCTTCGACTTCTTCTTAGTGAAAAATCTAACTGGTCGTTTCAAAGATTACTTTGATGATTTCAACAACGATTTAGGTAAGGATATAACCGTACTTTCCACTTAACAAATTTCCCAAATTTTTATTATTGCAAGCTTTACAAATGTATAATTTCTTTTAGCACTGAACTGTCCATATTTCGAACACGTGAAGGAAGCATGGGAAAAAAGAAACGACAAAAATTTTCTATTTCTCTTCTACGAAGATACGATGAAGGTGAATACTCTGCTAACCCGAAATTAAAAAATCAGGTAAATCTTCTCAGTCATCTGACTTAAATATCTTGTATTACATTTTCAGGACAAACGCAAGACAATCCGGATGATAGCCGACTTCCTAGGCAAAGATTTATCAGAAAACGAAATAGACAAGTTGGAAGACTACCTTAGCTTTGAGAAATTCAAAAACAACAAAACTGTCAATCATGTCCACATGACGAAGATAGGAATGGCCGATGATGTTGGCAAGTTTATGCGGAGGGGAAAGCCTGGTGGTTGGAGGGAGCTGATTGATGAAGAAATGGAAAGAGAATTCAATCGAGTGATGGAAGAGAAGCTGAAAGGAACAGATCTCAGATTTCCAGAGACGTAAAAGAAATAATCTTCCGTTATCATGAAAAATATACTATTTTAAATGTAATTTCAAAACACAAATAAATGTATAGACATTGAAATAAGACTATTTTATTTATAAATTCGTAATTATTCAAACAATCCATCATTTGCTTTTTTCACAAACAACAACGTTTCGATGACTATTTAATGTATAATTTCTTAGATGCAGCTTTTGATCATAAAAATTTTAATAAATACGTTTTGTTCAGAAACAGTCAGATTTACGAAAATGTCGATTATCAGTTTGTTATTATCTAATGAACAGCGATTTTACTATTTTATTTTGTCAATGGTGTATCATTTTTTATAAATACTGGTAACATTAATTTTCTATCTCCGAGTTCTAATCATAAAAAATAGAAGCTATGAATTTTATTTTTTGTGCTTTATTTATTTACAATGATAAGCTTAATGTAAATTTAATGAGTGATATCAATTATGTTATCTAAGTTGTTTGCGTTGGTATTCATCCCAGTATTAAAATAAAAGTTTTATGTGCACAAAATTCTTAAGCAAATGATAAATTAAATTTATCTGTTCAGATAAAGAATGTATTACATACGAGTTCGTTAAACGTACAAAATAAATGTAAGTAGAAGAAACATGTTATTAAACATGGCGACTTGTCAACAACCAGAACGCAAAATCTTTAAAAAATTGCCCTTCGAAGTAGTGGATCCCAAAGAAAATGAATTTCCTAAATTGAACCTTTGTGAGTATTTTTTTATTTATCTAACTTTGTTGTTCTCATTATGGGTAAACCAAAATTGTCTCGCAATATTTTCAAAAGGAAAAGAAGACAAAAAACAAAGGTATATTTTTACAGGACGTTTACGCTTTTTTTATTCATACTTTAAATTTAGACTATAGAATCAAATTATTCAAATTATTAACAATTATTCAAATCTCACAACATTTCTATTTCATCAAAAAAATTAATATAAATATAAATAGGATTCTCATATGATTTGTAAAACTTCTTTACTTGGATCTCATATACTTCATAATATTCTAAAAAACAAGCACTGTAACCATAGTATCGCACACAGGATATTTCTCAAATCAAGTCAAGTTCAGTGTGGTTATTTGTACGGCGTTGTCGCGGACATATCCTGCTTGCTCTCGTCGACTGTAAATTTACTTTGCTCTATCTCGAAATGCCTTATTCAAATCAAGAATTAGCGAAAATGATATTAATGTACACAGAGTGCGAATATGATTTAAATATGACTCGTCGTTCAAATCAAAATTGTCTATTTTTATGTCCTCTCTATCACCCCTTTCAAGAATCGCATTTATTTCAGAAACACCATTTATATAACTTATCGGAAACTGTGGTTTTGTAAGAATTTTTTTCTTAGATTTTAAGCATTAGATATAAAGGAGGGTTTAAAGTTTACTTAGTGTCCTTATTTCGACTTGACACAGTAGCGTAACATTTATTATTTTTAAAGGGTTACCAGAAATGAAGTTTGTGCGCCACTGGCTTTTTATATTTACATGACATTAAACCAATAGACGGAAGTTGGGGTTAGTATTCTCTATCGCTAATTAGAAAAAAAAAATTACTTAACCAGACTCCGAAATATGCCCGTTAACTTTTGCAACTTCAACACCTTGTACAAAATTGACAAAACTTTAGTAGTCAAATTATTAATTCTCGTAGTAGTATCTATTTGTAACGTTTGGTCGGTTAACTGAACATCTCGCATAAAAAGTCATAATTTTTCCTTGTACTTATTCATCCTGAAAATATAGCAATACAGTTTAGGACCAGTCTGTATGTTTAAAAAAAGTTAGAATCTAAAGAGCATATAATGTTATTTTTTTGATAATTTGCATTTAAAGCCTCTTGTGGTAACGAATATATTTTGGTCCTTAGATGGTAAGGATTTTGTTTTCGTGGGTCCCAAGAGGTACTTTCAAACAGGTGCTTACAAGGAACTAGGTCTCGGCATTTACAACTTCGAAGCCAGGCCCGATGATGTCTACCTACTTGGACATGCAAGATCAGGTAATACCACAAAGTTTCTTGAAGCCAGTTTTTGATTGAGTCAAATTTATCCGTAGGAACTACGCTTCATGGTGAAATGATATGGCTGATAGGAAATGACTTGAACTATGAAGAGGCTGCAAAGAATTTCATAATGTACAGATTTCCACATATAGAGTAAGTTGAGATAATTCGTTAGCACAAATAAGTAAATGAATCTCATTTTTTTTAATGCGAAATTAAGATTGTGATAATTGTTTTCAGTTTGTTCACATTTCATAGCAGGGAACGAATTAAGGAAATTTCAGAAAGTGAAGACGCTACAGAAGAGATGGTAGATATTTCCGGCAAGTACCTAGAAATGACTTTGGAGGGGCTAGCAGAAAGGAAGGGTAGGAGGTTCATAAAATCTCATCTACCTCTTAGTTTGATGCCTCCCCACATGTTTGAGGTTGGAGCTAAGGTACATGATTTGGGTTACTTTCTTTGCTTTTTATTGAATAAGCATTTTGGCAATCATTATTTTAGGTCATCTACTGTGCAAGAAATCCAAAAGATATGCTAGTTTCTTATTTCCATTCTTTCGACTTCTTCTTAATGAAAAATGCAACTGATGGTTTTAAAGACTACTTTGATGATTTCAACAATGATTTAAGTAAGAGTATTTGTATAACCGTACTTCCTACGTTACAAATTTTCACAAATATATAATTTCTTTTAGCATGGAACTGTCCATATTTCGAACACGTCAAGGAAGCATGGGAAAGAAGAAACGACAAAAATTTTCTATTTCTCTTCTACGAAGATACCATGAAGGTGAATTCTTCTAGTACACTACAAATTAAAAAAACAGTGGAAAAAATATTAAGTGGTCTACTCACTCACCTTATTTAAATACCTTGTATTAAATTTTCAGGACAAACGCCAGACAATCCGGAAGATAGCCGACTTCCTAGGCAAAGACTTATCAGAAAACGAAATAGACAAGTTGGAAGACTACCTTAGCTTTGAGAAATTCAAAAACAACAAAACTGTCAATCATGTCCACATGACGAAGATAGGAATGGCCGAGGATGTTAGCAGGTTTATTCGGAGAGGAAAGCCTGGTGGTTGGAGGGAGCTGATTGATGAAGAAATGGAAAGAGAATTCAATCAAGTGATGGAGGAGAAGCTAAAGGGAACAGATCTTAGGTTTCCAGAAACATAAAATCAATTTCATTGTAATAGAATAATAATAACGAAACTAAATGCCTTCTTGTACAAATGTTAGTGAAAATAGACTAGAAATAAATACTGCATTTCTTTTGCACTCTTGAATATTATATTAACGAATTATTTATATCTTTGTGAGTATTTTTTAATCCTGCCTATATTTATAAAAACATTTCCAGTTTCATATGAAGGAAGAAGCAAGCATTCTGTCACAAATAAAACGTATGAAGTCCATTTTTTGCGTTTTATTTTTTAAAATCCCTTTTACTGTCAATAAAGGAAATGATGCGCATATTGTTTATCAACTTGAATATATCTTAATTTTTTTAATAGATCAGAGACCAAAATAAATCCTCTTGGCTCTAAACTGTTTATAGAAACAGCAAAAACAATACAATTATGTTATCTCAGTTAATTGTGCTGCATATATTCAGGTATTTCCATGTCCCAAAACTCTTAAGCAAATAGTACCTAAATTATTTTTTTATTATCAGTTAAGGTAAAAAAAATATACTACATATGAATCCATTGAACGCACAAAAGTGAAACAAGAACCGGTTATGAAACATGGCGAGCTATCAGCGACCAGAACGCAAGATCTTTGAAAAACTACCTTTCGAAGTTGTAGATCCCAAAGACGAATTTCCTAAAGTGAACATTTGTGAGTATTTTTTTATTTCTCTAGTTTTTCTCGACTTGTTGTGGATAGTCCAAAATCGTCTTGCGATATTTTCAGAAAGAACAGAACATAAAAAATAAAGATACGTTTTTACGAAAATTTCCAAGAGGGGCGGTGTCCCAGAGCTCCCTCCCCCTCGCACCAGCCGCCGTTGCTTCCATATCATTAATATCTGGAGTGATTTTGCACCACTTCAATTCTCTTTATCAAAAAAATACTATTGTATTAAAGTCATAAATTACTAAGCTGCCAAATGGTTTCTACACAGCTTTGTTTTAGAGACAATAATTTAGGTGTCGATTAAAGGAATTGGAACTGATCGGACGTATAGATTGCCATAACCTACATATATTGCATGTTATAAATATGTAAGTAAGTATAGGCAACACTTTTTTATTTAATCAAATATTAATCGAGACTCAATATATTATTGTTTTTAAATACTGTAATCAAACCACTGCATATAAACATAATTTTCATCAAAATAGCCGGATGACCTAATGGAAACGATGGGAAATAGAAAAAGACAACGCACGACACCCATAGAATGGGGCGGGGTCTGTCAATAATGAGGATATTTATTCCGATTTAGCTATGTACGAGTTTATCTGTAGACTTTATTTAACGGGTACCTATATTTGAGTGAAAGTACTCAGTTTTAGTTTTCCCAGAAATAAAGTTGGTGTGCCACTGGCTTTTTGTATTTGCATGACATTAAACCAGTAGATGGAAGTTCAGGTTAGTATTCTCCATTACCAAAAAAAAAAATCCAGGTTTCGAAATAAGCCCGTTACCTTTTTTAACCGCAACACTGTACAAAACTGCCAACATTTTATTCGAACTACCACCAATTTTAATTCGCGTAGTGGAATCTATTTATGACGCTTGGTCGGTTAATTTAACAACCCGTATAAAAAGTATCCTAATCTTTCGTTGCACTAACCATCCTCAAAATATAGGGATACATGTTAGGACTAGTCTATTTAAAAAAGTAGTATTTTTTAAAAATATATTTCTGGTTGTGGCGCAAAACCAAAAAGTGTATAGAGTATAAATCGGGGCGTTGAATTGGTCATAACTTGCATTTAAAGTGTCTTAACGAATATATTTTGGTCCTTAGATGGTAAGGATTTTGTTTTCGTGGGTCCCAAGAAGTATTTTCAATCAGCTGCTTACAAGGAACTAGGTCTCGGCATTTACAACTTCGAAGCCAGGCCCGATGATGTCTACCTAGTTGGACATGGAAGATCAGGTAATACCACACAGTTTCTTGAAGCCAGTTTTTGACAAAGTCAAATTTATCCGTAGGAACTACGCTTCATGGTGAAATGATATGGCTAATAGGAAACGATTTGAACTATGAAGAGGCGGCAAAAAATTTCATAATGTACAGATTTCCACATATAGAGTAAGTGGAGATAATTGGTTAGCACAAATAAGTAAATGAATCTCAAATAGTACTTTCACTTTATTTAGTATGTAATGTTTACTTAACGCGAATGTTTCTTTTTACTTCGAAAATAAGATAAAAATAATTGTTTTCAGTTTGTTCACATTTCATAGCAGGGAACGAATTAAGGAAATTTCAGAAAGTAAAGACGCGACAGAAGAAATGGTAGATATTTCTAGCAAGTACCTAGAAATGACTTCGGAAGGACTGGCAGAAAGGAAGGGTAGAAGGTTCATAAAATCTCATCTACCTCTTAGCTTAATGCCCCCACATATGTTTGAGGTTGGGGCCAAGGTACATGATTTGAGTTACTTTCTTTGTTTTTGTTTAATGAGTATTTTGGCAATCGTCCTTTTAGGTTATCTACTGTGCAAGAAATCCAAAAGATATGCTAGTATCTTTATTCCATGCTTTCGATTTCTTCCTAGTAAAAAATCTAACTGATAGTTTTAAAGATTGCTTTGACGACTTCAACAACGATTTAAGTAAGGGTATTTGTATAACTGTACTTCCCATGTTACAAATTTTCTCAAATGTATAATTTCTCTTAGCATTGAACTGTCCATATTTCGAACACGTGAAGGAAGCATGGGAAAGAAGAAACGACAAAAATTTTCTATTTCTTTTCTACGAAGATACCATGAAGGTGAATTCTTCTAGTACACTACAAATTAAAAAAACAGTGGAAAAAATATTAAGTGGTCTACTCACTCACCTGATTTAAACACCTTGTATTAAATTTTCAGGATAAACGCCAGACAATCCGGAAGATAGCCGACTTCCTTGGCAAAGACTTATCAGAAAACGAAATAGACAAGTTGGAAGACTACCTTAGCTTTGAGAAATTCAAAAACAACAAGACTGTCAATCATGTCCACATGACGAAGATAGGAATGGCCGAGGATGTTAGCAAGTTTATTCGGAGAGGAAAGCCTGGTGGTTGGAGGGAGCTGATTGATGAAGAAATGGAAAGAGAATTCAATCGAGTGATGGAGGAGAAGCTGAAAGGAACAGATCTTAAGTTTCCAGAAACATAAAATCAATAACCTCTCGTTGTAGTAGAAAAGATACAATAGACAAAATTAAATGACATTTTGTACATAATTTCAAAATGTAAATGAATATAGTCTTATTAAAATAAAGACTGTATTGTAAACCTCTGATTTTTGGGGAAAAAAATTTAAAAAAGTTTATTCTCTATAGCAAATTATTTTTTGCACTTTCAATTTTATGTTCAGGATTTATTTGTTCAAATGTTTTATTATTTTATTCTATTCTTCTATTCTCTATTCTTTTATTGTATTTATTTTTTCCAATGCTCCTTGTATTATATTTTTAGTCTAGGAAAGTTAGACATAAAAAGACGGAATATCTCAATGAAGATGCTTTTTTCCGAAAAAAAGTTTCAAATAAAAGTTGTCTAATATTAAGTTTTCTACAAAATTGCTCATATGAAAAATTTCGATTTTCCAAATAGTTTTCCCTTATATTTTTGAAATAAAGTACAGATTACGTGAAAATTAATGTTTTGGATCTAAAATAATTGTCAATTCATTTTTAAATAATAAAAGTGAATTAGAAAAAAAAAATTGTGGAAAATCTTATAGTTTTCCGAGGTTTGAATTTTTATTAATATCATTTTATATGTTTTCAAGGGTGTACATTACTAATAGTTTCCAAAAAAAAATCTGTTTCCTTTGAAATGTTTTTTGCGACAGCGATGAGGCAGTTTTACATAAGAAACCTTGATATGCAAGTCCATAATGGATTGTTAAAAATAATAAATAAAAAAAGTTGTTTTTTAATTATAAATAAACAAATAAAAATATATCGATATATTTTTTTTATTATATCTTTGCAGCTCCAGAAATTTCCTTTCCTATTGTCATAAAATTTATATTTTTTAAAATCCAAAGTAAAAAATAAATTTCAAAGAAAACAGATTTTTCTGGAAAATAGTAAAAAGCGCATAATTAATTCGTAAGGAACACCCTCGAAAACCTATAAAATGATACGTATGAAGCTCATAAATATTCAAACCTCGGAAAACTATATAAGATTTTCCAATAATTATCCGCAATTTTCTTTTCCCTACTTCACCTTTGGTAATTTATAAATGAATTGACCATTATTTTGTCTCCAAAACATTAATTTTCACATAATCTGTACTTCGTTTAAAAAATATACGGGTAAATTATTAGGAAAATCGAAATTTTTCGTAGGAGCAATTTTGTAGGAAATTTAATTTTGAACAACTTTTATGTGAAACTTTTTTTTGGAAAAATACATCTTAACTGAGATATTGGCAATTTTTGTTCAAAAAACGCGAAAAATCATATACAGGGTGTCCCGAAATTCATGCAACAAAATTTGGTCACAGATTTTTAAGACAAATTTAGGGGACCCGCATTTTTAATTTTTGTCAAATGGCCCCCTCTTTCGGAGTTACAGCCCCCTGAAGTCCGCCCCTAAGAATAATCTATTTTTTATATCTCAGAACCCTGTTGTACGAGAATCACTAAATTTGGTCCACAGGGGTTTTATGACATTTGGAATCAGATGGTGCTACGTTTTTTGGCGGGGAACCCCCTTAAGACAATTTTTCGTGGGCCCCCTTGTCTTTGGAGCCAAAAAAATTTGGTCGCATATTTAAATTTCTTAAATATTATCAGTCCACTAGAAAGCCATTAAATATAGAAACTTTTTGTCTCTTTATACTTTTTTCGTAAAACGCAATGTTTTCGAGAAAAATGTCAAAATGTGTTCGAATGCATATCGTGATTCGTCATTTTCCTCAAAAACATTGCGTTTACGAAACAAATATCAAGAGACAAAAAAGTTTCTAAATTCAATGGCTTTCTAGCTGACTAATAATTAAAAAATCAAATTTGCGACCAAATTTTTCTGGTTCCAAAGACAAGGGGGCCCACGAAAAAGTGTCTTAAGGGTGTTTTTCGCCAAAAAGCGTAGAACTGTGAGATTCCACATGTCATAAAATCCCTGTGTACCAAATTTAGTGATTTTCGTACAACAGGGTTCTGAGATATAAAAAAAAGATTATTCTTAGGGGCGGACTTAAGGGGGCTGTAATTCCGAAAGAGGAGGCCACTTGGGAAAAAGAAAAAATACGAGTCCCCTAAATTTGTCTTAAGAATCTATGACCAAATTTTGGCGCATGAATTTCGGGACACCCTGTATACAGGATGATTTCACTTTAAATACAAAAGCTGCCGGAATAGATTAGTTGCCAAAAAATAAGTAGAGTTTGTACTATACTCATTTCCTGGGGGGCGTGGTATTCGAGATACAGGGTGTTCAAGTTTCCAAAAAAAAAATAATATTTTCGGTCATATCTTCATATTACGCTGAACGATTTAAATGAACTTTTTTACAGCGTATTCACGTAATAAGACCTTTTATTGAATGTAGTATTAACCTCGTGGCATTAACCAGTTGCGTGCTACTGAAGGTGCTGGTCCGTTTTCCCAAGAAAAAAAACGCCACTGGCAGTTTCTTGTAGAAATAATGTTAAATTCGGGTACTGTTACGTCATATGAATGAAAAGTGATTTTTGGTATTTTTTAATAGTAGCCGCCGTTTAGGAGATAAATTACCTACTTATTTTGTGACCATTTTACGCAAATTTAATCTTTACTCATACTTGTTTAAAATCCATCAGCAAATATTGAATCTTTTGTATGCATTATCAGTTAGTAAACTTTGCGTTATTCTCGTTTTACAATTAGTATTATAACTAGCTTTGTTTATTTATTTCTGAAGCTGGAGGAAAATTGTAATCTCCTCAGAGAAAATCAAGTCGTGATAAATTCCACTATAAATAGATTAGAAGGTGTTAAAAGTGTAACGATGCGGAAGGACTTCGTTTTGAATAATTGTTACTCGTTACTTAATTACTTTTCGACCTATTTGCTAATGTTATTTTATTATTTAGTTGTGATATTTTTTCCAGAAATAAAATTATTTCTATAAAAAACCGCTAGTGGCATATTTTTTTCTTATGGAAATGGAACGGCACCTCCAGTAGCACGCCACTTGTTAGAGCCACAAGGTTAATAATACATTCAATAAAAAAAGGTTTATTCAAAATACGGTGTAGTAAATTTCATTCAATTTCGTCACCGCATTATGAAGATATAACAGAAAATAAAAATTTTTGTAAACTTTAACACCCTGTATCTCGAATACCGAGTCCCCCCAGGAAAAAAGTTTATAGAGCAAACTCTACTTATTTTTTTGTAATGAATCTAGTCCTGCAGTTTCTGTGTTTAAAGTGAAATCACCCGGTATATGTCTATATTTCAAAACGATGTATGTTGCTCATGGTTGGGTATGTGACATATGTTCTCTGACCTCAAAACCTACACTTTTCTATAAAAAAGTCCCAAAGTAAAAAAGTTCTCCCAATTTTTCCTTATTTTCCTGGACTATTACATAACATTCATATTTAATTAAAATACAAAATATCACCAACCTGTACAGAAGTGCGGTTCGTCCGATTCATCGCCGCAGTCGTCGTTGCCGTCGCAGTAGCCATTCAGACGGATGCATTGGCCATTCCTGCAGGGGAACTCGCTGATCCTACACGCCGGACCAAAACTGGCCTCTTGCAGAAAGCCCAGCAAGAGCACAGCGGCTGGTACCGACCACAGCCACATCCTGAAGAGGAAATAATAGATTAGACAATTCTATAACAACATTTTCCTTGAAATTATGCTTTATACTACATAACTTAATATACAGGGTGTCTAGAAATTAACGCGTACTACCATGGCAAGCTGCGTCCCGAGGTAATGGACCAAAATTCATGGGTAGATTCCGAAGCAAAAATATTGCCATTTAGCCAAACTTACCTTAGTCCAAAAGTTGATAGTTAAAGAGATACAGGGTGTTAAATGTAAAATATTAATTTAGTTTATTTCCATTTATTTCTTAATAAATGCAAATATCTACACAAAATTTTGGGGGTTTGGGATTCTTTGGGTAGAGGAATTGAAATTTGTTCACATTTTGGTTATAGTTCATAGAGGGCGCCAGCTGCCGTAGATTGAATGTGTTGGAAACGACATAACTTTCTTGTACTTTAAGGTATCTCATCTTTGGTATCAAATTCATATTTTCCAATCTTTTTTACACAAAAAAGATAGACTTTATGAAAGTACCTGTCTCGCACCGTTTCCGAGATATTTGGCTTTGAAACTTCCAATGTTAATAGATAGTTGAAATAATTAAAATAATTTAGAACTGTTAGAAACAAGGGTTTATTTAGAGTTAAAAATTGTAATGAACAGTGAAATAGTAAACATTAGTAAAAAATATGCCTTTTTGACAATAACTGCTCAAAATGTCCACCTCAAACTTCAATACATTTATCAACGCGTTTATTAAAAGATTGTCTTATTTTAAAGTATAAATCCTTAACACGAAATGACTTTGCAGCATTTAAAACCTGCTGCTAAAGTTCTTCTCAAGTGTTTATAGTTTCTCCATAGACAACTGATTTCATGTAACTCCAAAAACGAAAATCTCGGCATTCTATCTCACATTTATATATACGAGTATACAATTTAAATTGTAAGCTAAGATGTAAGTTTAATTAGATACAAATAATACTTAATAGAAATTAGCATACAAATGACAGCAATAAGACAAGTGGAAGACGTCAATTATTTGATTTTCGTCCAAATCCTACTTAAGAAACTTTACGGCTAAATTACTAATACCTGTAGGTACTTAATTGTAATTGAATGCAACAGCATTGGAAGTTTCAAAGCCAAATATCTCGAAAACGATGAGAAATAGCTACTTTAATAAAGTATACCTTTTTTGTGTAAAAAAAAGTTGAAAAATAAGAATTTGAGATGAGATACCTTAAAGTAAAAAAAAGTTACGTCATTTTTAACACATTCAATCTACCGCAGCTAGCGCCCTCTATGAACTTTAACCAAAATGTGAACAGATTACAATTCCTCTACTCAAAGAAATCCAATGCCCAAAATTTTGTGAGGATATTTGCATTTGTTAAGGAATAAATTAAAAAAACTGAAAAAATATTTTACATTTAACACCCTTTATGTCTTTAACTATCAACTTTTGGACTAAGGTAAGTTCGGCTAAATCGCAATATTTTTGCTTGGGGAATCTACCCATGAATTTTGGCCCATTACCTCGGGACCACCCTGTATTGATTAGGTAAAAATACAATTCACATGGTCAGCATTTTTCATATCTCTGTTCCAAAATTTTTAGGATTTTATTTATATATTTATTTGAACTGAACTTTTAAGCTTAATATCTTTGAAATAAATTAAGAATAAATAACTTGTCGACATTATTTCTTTCATCTCACAAGGAAGTTTCCGTTTTGTGGTGATTCTAAAGAGTAGTTTTTAACCTTCTCCTTCAGAAAAAGAAACCAAAAAATTAAACTAAATCAAATCAGCGCGATCAACTTTTGGGCTAAGGTAAGTTCGGCTAAATCGCAATATTTTTGCTTGGGGAATGTACCCATGAATTTTGGCCCATTACCTCGGGACCACCCTGTATTGATTAGGTAAAAATACAATTCACATGGTCAGCATTTTTCATATCTCTGTTCCAAAATTTTTAGGATTTTATTTATATATTTATTTGAACTGAACTTTTAAGCTTAATATCTTTGAAATAAATTAAGAATAAATAACTTGTCGACATTATTTCTTTCATCTCACAAGGAAGTTTCCGTTTTGTGGTGATTCTAAAGAGTAGTTTTTAACCTTCTCCTTCAGAAAAAGAAACCAAAAAATTAAACTAAATCAAATCAGCGCGATAGCAACTATTTAAACTACTGGCAACGCCAACCAAGTAATAACGATGCTCTACCCAAGAACCGAATNAAGTTTCCGTTTTGTGGTGATTCTAAAGAGTAGTTTTTAACCTTCTCCTTCAGAAAAAGAAACCAAAAAATTAAACTAAATCAAATCAGCGCGATAGCAACTATTTAAACTACTGGCAACGCCAACCACGCAATAACGATGCTCTACCCAAGGACCGAATCAACTGATTGATTCCGCTTACCGCCGCTAACCCCCGCGCTGCGTCCGGGGCCTTCAAAACTCCGGCAAGTAAATTAATCACCCCCACCCTCCCAGCCGTTCTATCAAAGATTAACCGCGCGACTTAGGCGCGACTTTCATCTCACGGGGTTGGGAGTAGCCCGAGCTTTTCTAAGCCGGCTGAAAAATTACCCTCGAACTTCAAAGCCAACAAAGAACGTTGTGGCGAGTCTGATGGCGATCTGCAGGTGGGGAGGGGGGACCGCGCTTTGAGTAATGGCCCGGGGGGTGAGGGGAAGCGGTGTATACAGTTTTAAGTTCCTAAACTATAGAAAAATTTAATAGAAATGTCAAAATTTTGGACAAAGTTTATGAAATGTCTACGACTCTTCTACAGGGTGTTGCAGAAATGAGGGAGATAAAACATTAAAAAGTAAGACGGTTTTTCAAATGGAACATGGACCTCTCTTCTTTTATTTTTGAGAAGCATTTTGTAAAATCAAATTTTAGCCATATATTCTTCAAAATACTATAAAATGTTTAATTTGGTATATACGAGTACATATAAGTTTTTGAATGTCCTTAATTTGTTAATCTCTGGTACTGGGTACCATTTGTTTTGGTGTCATTTTACGACATAACATTTGTGACAAAATTTTTATATGTATATGCATGTCTTGTATTACAATGTAATTTTTCATTTTGTATGAAAAAGATAATCTAACGACGTACCATTTTTGAGAAAAGTGCACATAATTTTCTCAAAATCAACCAGCTTCTGTCCTTAATATACAAAGAGTATGTAAAAAAATGGGTAATACTATATGGGTATCTTCCTTAGATGAAAATAACCCGATTTATATCAATTTACCTTGTACAATTATGCTTTATTAAAAACTTACGGGTCTTAACAAAAATAAAATAACGTTTTTAAGGGTTTGTAACTTTTTAAGGAAGGAAAATTGCACCAGGTGACTTTCATAGGAAAAAATAGTCTTGTTTGGATATTGCCATACTGAAAAAACAATAAATAAAAATATAACAAACGCTTCTGGCAAACTGATTAAATTATTACGCTGCTTTTAGTTGGATGAGAATTGATAGTATTGAAGTTGAGGGAGAACGTCATGTTTTCCAACCCTTTAACCTCAAAAATCTCAAAAATAACGCGTTAAAAAATATTTAATTTTACAGTACTTTTAGCTGTCGAAATTTTCCGTAAAGTCGTTTTTGGATCGTCTTAATAGCTTCAATATTAAGGAAGTTATCGTTACAAAACCAACGGTACCTTACTGCTTCAATATTCGGCATGTCAATATTTTGCTTATCCACAACTTTGGAGCAATCTATATGCAGAATACCTTCACTTTTTCCCTTTAATCTTTTAATAATTCTACTTATCAACTTTAAATGTATAAAATTGTTTTTATTTGTATAATGAAGGGATTGTTAAGAAACCCAGTGATCAGATAAACACCATAAGAGGGCATAATTTATTTGAAATAATTTAAAAGCCATTTTTTTATTTTTTTCATTGGGTGTGGTTTTTAAGGGTTAAAACAATGCGATAAATTGTAAATGGTATTATAAACAGGTAAAAGAATTTAATTTATTCTGTTTGTACTATCAAATCATTTCAAACTGTTAAAAAACATTTTTTTTTATATTTTGTTATTAGTTTTTTTAAGGGTTGCAATATTGTAATAATTTTTTTATAATACCATAAACTATTGAAAATATTGCTATCTATAATATATCCGCTATAAAAATATTTTAAGGTCAAAGAAACTATTAATTTTACATTTTTATCATTAAGGGTGGTTTTTAAGGGTTGACTTTATAAAAATAACGTCAATTATAACCCACAATATATAACAATACTTATTCTATATATTAACATATGATTTTAGTCTATATAACATCTATTTTTATATTTATTCAGTGTTTTAGCATAAGGGGTGGCTGTCATCCCCTAAAAATAAGAAGCGCATATCAACCATATATAACTTTCCATTTCTTTCTTAAAAAAATGCCTAATATGTTTTTTTAATTTTTGAAGGTCTTTTCTTAATGATAGTAAGCCGTAGAAAAAATCAAATATCAAAAAATATATCAAAAAGTACTACCCACTATCACATAAAAAAAAAGAATTTTGAAAATCGGTCAACGCCATGGAGGTGTTCCGTGAAACACACTGTAAGTAGCTTTATTTTCTGTTTCTAGTTTCATTTTGAATTTGCTAGTCACTAAAACTGTTAATGCAGGAGTGGTTTTAAAAGTTTAGCTCGAGATTTAGGTATTATTATAAAGTTCTACCCCGCATGCAGAAATCTGTTCTGCTTGTGTAGCTGGCCGCCGACCTTTCGGGTTTAATTAAATATTGAACTTTTACTAAAATTTGATTGAACTCAATTATAAAATTAATTGGAGTTTTAAAAAGTTGGTCGAACATCCATTTTTAATTTATATTAAATATGAGAAGGGAAAAAACTGAATACTATATGATTCCCAATTCAAAGTTATCAGCGCGAGAGAATGATTATTGATTACTGTAAAAAAAATAAAAAAATGATGGAGTGAAATAAATTGACAGGCGTATCAATGTTTTTATGGTCACAGAAAGTGTAATAAGAAATAATTGGTCAAATATCGCATACTTTATCTGATCTTACCTTCTCCTTGTGCTATAGGATGTGATATATCTTAAATGTCATTGCTATGAATAATCTTAACTGTTTACTAGATACTGTGGGTGTAATTAAATGCTAGACGGGACATGTAGTCCGCAGAGTAGTTGATTCCTACAACTGTTTAAGAAAAAACGTTACTCTGTATTATTACAACATATTGTAATACAATGAGATGGGGCAAAAATTTTAAAATATCAAAGAGAAAGGCAAATTTGGGAAAATAAAATTGGTAAAATTGATTTTAAAGAAATAAATTATAAGTTGAATAAGTGTGACCAATAGGAGTACAGTAGATGGTTGAAATTGAGAAATAAAAGATAAAATAAAGAAAAATTGGTATATGATCAATTAAAAATTTTCGTAAAAAATGAATTTCAAACAAAATTTAAAGAAATATAAGGTAATAAAGTATTTTCGAAATTGAACATGTGATTGGTAATAAAAATTTGGATGACTAGAATTAGGAAGTGATTTAAAAAAAACATAGTGGGACATGAAAAGAAAAAGAGTGAGGTAACTAAGAAAGAAACATTATAAATTAGGGGAGCTGATAGCTAAAGTTTTGAAAATAAAATTTTTACTTTAAAAGGAAGATAATTTGATTGCCAGAAAGAAACAAATGCATTCAATAAAGAAAAACCATTTATAAGAAGGAGTAGAAGAAAACAGTCTCAAGAACAAATTAATTGAAGATTATGGATAATAGAAACTTAGTAAGTCCAATAGCGAAACAAGGTTAACTGTTATAGAGTATTACCCAGTATCGAGTCTATACAAATCTAATCCAAGTCACCGACAGGGAATAGTAATATAGAAATATCAGCAAGAAGACAAACAACAAGGAGTTGAAGTCAGGAACAGAAGTTGTGCTAATAGGTACAGGAAAAAATAGAGGAGATAAAGGACCAAAAAGAAAAGAAATTAGTGTATTAGACAGTGGTAAAGAGGTATGAACCCCTAATACAATACAGACTTGTGTTAAATTTAGTATTTAAATCATCACCAATCACATAATTTTTTTATTTTAATTTGAAATATAGTGAATCCGAATAATTAAATGTATTGGAAATTATTTTTACGAGAAATAGAATAACTGTGTTCAGTTAAAATTCAAATATAATCTTTGTGTCTTTTCCTTCTCAAAATTAAGTATATAAATTCATTAGTGAGTATAATATTTTAAAATCAAAATACTAATCTTCTCAGAACCTTACCCTGAGGTAACACTACTCATATTAGATTAAAAGTTGCATGAATCTTAAATTATTTTATTTTTTTTTTCTCAAACAAAGACTTTCTCTATAAACATAACAAACAAAATTTGAATTAAATTACAAACTATATGCTCATGTGAACTGGCGCCCAGACAATAAAGAAGAAAAATAGGATCCAAAGAAGGAGAAGCGAAGCAGAATAAGTAAATACAGGAAAGAAAATTAATTTTTCGAGATACCGGGTGTTGAAATTAAAAAAGTAACACGTTTTCAAAAATATCTGTGAAGGTATTTGATGCAGAATAGCGGAACTTAGGCTAATAATTTATGTACCATAATTAAAGGTAAGTATCCACTGAATTCGGAAATAAATATGTCTCTCAGTGTATCAGTGAAATTATTTGTGGCACCATTATTGGAACAATAGTTTTAAGAAATCTCTTAAAGGTAAAGTCTAAGATGAATTAGATCTAGTGAAATAGAAAGAAAATAATGATAGGTATAGTCTGTTTAGAAATGAAAGAGAGTAATAAAAGCTTATTATGTATGCAAATCGTAAATAAATGTAGTACTGGTGCTTATATTCAATATTTTTATATTATGTATTTTCGGTATAGATGAGGTGTACTTTTAAAAAAACTTTGTGCGATCGGACTGTACTAAATTGTAGCAGGTAGCTAAAATTTAATCCCCGACAATCCGTCTTTGTCTATGCCGCTTCAATTTCTCGGTCCATTTCTCTTATAAGTAAACAATATAAAAACAGCATTTCAAAACATGAGGCTACTTTAAGCATCATAACCGGGTTAAGAGGGTTTTTAGTAATTCAAATAAAATTATTCAATATTATTATCAAAATATTTATTTAAATTTAATGAATAGACTTTTATTCCACACAAAAATATATGTATTTTGAAAATTCAAATTATGGTGAGTAAATGTAGTGTTGTATAAATGTACAATAAAGAAAATAAAAAAGTAGGTATATTAAAATTCATCCTCTGAATATTCTGATGAATTATCTTCGTCTCCTAGATTGATAACGATAGGTTCCACAGTAACGTCAATTAAATTATCGAGTTCCCACATTTTCTCCTCTTCTTTTTGTACATGATGTATACATCTTTGCCAGTTATCTGCAGTTACTCGTTCCAAGGAATTTTTTAACAAAATTTTCACGTCACTTAATTTAAACGTCGTATTATTTCGCGCTACATCTCCTTTTACCTGCGCCCAGACTAATTCGATTGGGTTAAGTTCACAGTGATAAGGTGGTAACCGTAGTACCGTTATTTGGCGATTTGTTGCCATTTCATCGATAACATATTTTTTCTGATCTTTATTAAGATTGACAAGTGTCAAAAGTTCCTTTTTCACCATATTTGTTTCAAAAGAAATGTTTTTTCCGGATAACCATTGAATTATATCGGCTTTCCTCCAAGCAGTCGTAGGCGTCCGCTCGGTCTGCCGTGAATGGTAACTGGCATTATCCATGACAATTACAGACCCCGGAGGAATAAGATCCAACATCTGTGTAAAATACTCTTCGAAAACATCTGCGTTCATGTCTTCGTGATAGTCACCTGTATTTTTAGATTCAAATAAAAGTAAACCGCCATCTACAAAACCACTGGCACTACCTATATGTGTCACTATTAATCTTCGCCCTTTACCTGAAGGTGCCTTGAACCCTGTTGAAAGTCCATCCAAAAATGCTTGTCGAAAACTTTTTACATTTTTATCTTGCCATACTTTTGTTACAGTATATCCCTCGTTGACCCAAGTTTCGTCTAGATAATAAATATTCCTCCCTTCGTCACGGAATTTTCTAATTGATCTTAAGTAGGATCTTCGCCAACAAATAATTTCATCTTTATCGATAAGAACTGACTTCCTGTTCTGCTTTTCCCAGCAAAAATTCAACTCTCGTAAGACGGCCCATAATTTGCTTCTACTGATTTTTGGCAAATCGTTGTCCTCTGAAAGTTCACTTAAAATTTTGTTTAGCGTTGGTATTTCTTTTTTAAAATAAAATGAGTGTACTTTTCTGCGAATGACATTTTTGAAGAAATCATCTATAACGACTTTTGACCTCCCTGTAGATGATTTTGGGGGATTTACAGTATCTTGTTCATTTTTTGTTTCCTTTAAAAGTCTGTAGATAGTCGATTTTCCAATCCCTGTCATTTTTGTTAGCATTAGTGTTACCCGATAATTACCTGAAACGAAATATTACCACGCCCATGGCCGGTTCTTATCTCGGGGTTTTTTACTCTCTTTCAATTCCAAACAGACTATAGTTTGTATAATAGAAATAAACAGATTTTCAAAATAAACAGCAATTTAAGCAACTGAAGCATTGAAGCAATTGATCCAATAAAATTAAAAAATAACAACTATATGAAGAGACCATTTTGTTTTGTTTTATCTACGCTAAAATTTGTAACGCTTTAAATGTAACTTACATAAATTTGTCAACCTTTTTAAATGATGTTTTTTCGTTTCCGGAGCCGAACGTATTCGCGACGCACACATAACAACCGAGGCAGCTAATTACAGCTTTAAACCAGCTGGCAAAAGCCCCGTTTCCAGTCAACAATGGCTGCAGGGGCGCAAACCCATTCCGGCGAAAATAATGAAACATAAATTCCGCGCCACATTAGAATTTTACGAAGAGAAAGGCCGATTCGGCGGCGGCAGTCGATCATTTTAATTGCCTACAACGAAAAATTTCATGTAGGTCAGCAGATTGCGTTAATTGAGTGCCCCGGCAACAAAACGGAAGCGCTGCCGGGCGAAAACCAGCGGCGTAGGTGCGGGATGTTCGCGGAGCAACGCGAATAGTCCAAGCACAACACTTTAATAAGTGTCTTTGGATGCAAGTTAATAAAGGAAATAAAAGATATGTTCAGGTTAACATGAATAAGTTTGATGGTGAGAAATAGGATTATACTACGCTCATTTTATCTAACGATTCAAATAATGACATCAATAAGGATGATTGCTGTACGTTCCGTTTCGTCCAATAGTTTTTACACATGTGCTTGATCATTGTTTTAAATCGTTGACAGGTGACAAAATGGCCGAATAAGCACAGCACAGACCAAAATATTGAATTATTTGAAATGTTGGTGATGAGAGTTATTTATTTTACAGATCTCTTTATCAATGGAAGCTATTATAATAATATCCAGTCTATTAAGGTGCAATTACTTACAAATGCAAATTAAGTTTATAAATAGGTAAAAAATAATAACCAACTTTCACAAAAAAGGACCACATTACTTAGACTAAGAGGTTCCATTCCGAATATACAGGGTCGGAAAGTCCCCATGGTTCATCGGTGGTCACGTGAGAGCGAAACGGGCAGTGACTATGAGACGCCTTCATTATAGCCATCTTTCTCTATCGCACGGATTTCTATGACTTACTTTATCGCTCTTGCGTAACGGCGGATGAACCATGGGGACTTTCCGAACCTGTATATCACATGAGGATGTAATGTCACTTTCGATGCTGTTATTTTGCACGTCTATGATCACTGCCTCAGTTGTTGCATCTAGCAAGGGCTCTTTCTCTATAAAGAACCTGATCGACATTTCGCACATGCTGGCAGTATGTCGATCGGATATACAGTTCTTAATACAAGGATCGCGATGTCCTTGTTACCGAGGAGTTTGTCAATAACGTATAATATCGACGTTGCTGATTACTTGAATTTTGCATCAAAAGCTTTCGGTTGTTCCTTGTCTTGGTGTAAAGGAATCCTATTTGCTTTGAATACGTCGCCGTTGCCGAGTACTTGGATTTTGCATCAAAGGCTTCCGATTGTTACTTGTCTTGGTCCAACGGAATCCTAATTGCTTTAGAACTTGTCGTATGCTCTTATGAGATGCTCCGTAATTATCGTTTACAACAAATTGTCGATGAATGCGGTGTTGGTCATTCCAAAAAACTGAATTGCTCACAATCCTGAATCTTCTTCATTTCTTTTGCGATGATTTGAACAATAAACTTTTCACCTTTGCAGGAGCAACATCCTGTTGAACCTACTTCAGATCCATAATGGGTTGATTTGTTTCCCCTTCACGTTGGATGAAGAGGACTGTAATCACTTCTGGTGTTTGACCATTCTTGTTCTCGACTTTAGACATAAACTCCATAATGAAGTGTCACTGTTCGAACTGTTTACAGCTTAACAGTTTGTACAGAACCGATGGCACACAAAATAAACATACCTACGTGTATAATGACAACTGGGTTTCTTCTTAGAAAAGATTATACTAGCGCTAATACAACCATTGTCAAAATGTTCCTGGCTTGCAACTGCCTTTTTGGGGCGCTGAGACTTGTAAAGTTGGTTGCTTATCTCTCCCAGCACTAACACATCTCTAAAGTTGGTTGCCTATCTATCTTAACACTAACACTTGATCGTAGGTGTAGGAAGCTGATGCTTTCATACACTGGCAAATAGTGTATTTAAAAGCAATTTTTTTCGATATCCATGGGTGCTCGCCGCAAGGCTTCATTTTCCGCGGTATTACCTCTGTCTGATTAATGGACGTGCTCTGTCAAATCCATGTAGCGATACTGTCAGGTACGACGCGACAATGAGGACCAGGGAACCGGACCAGGTGGGCTGTTGTACGTTCGTTATCCCCCATTTTTAACGAAATTGTTTCAACGATTTAAAAGCGATTAGCGGCGGCGTAACAATCAGTGTGGAATTAGTGTTCAGACCACTTTCCGGGCATTATTCGTCCAGACTTCTTTGACGGGTCGCATATGCTGGTATACCAAGCGGATTGGTAGATAGAAAAACGATTTTTGTATATCGAAAAAATATCACAAGCATGTGAAGTATAGTCTCTCCGAAGTCAGTTGAACATGTATAAAAACTCCTAGCAATAAAATGTATGAGTTTCATAGGCGTCCTTAAAAAAGTTTTCTGCTAAAGGTAAAAAATTATAATAATTTGTATATAATGTGTAGAAAGTTTATACCGCAAGCAGCAAAAGTATGGAATATACTTATTTAAAAATCAGATGTTCGTTATTTGAAAAATCGCTCGAACCCGTCGAATTATATTTTTTACTTTTTTAAATGAAAACCCCAATTTTTTTAATTTTTATTCAATTCTCCATGGAATTCTGATCATCTTGTATGTAGCATAACCTATACCTATCTTTAACCGTTTTCGAGATAATGGCGACTGAATATAGAATATAGAATATGAAAAATCAAAAATTACTCTCGATACATAAGGACTGTAACGTCAAAGTCAGTGGGAACTGGTGTACTTTCTGCTAAATACATTTTGTGTTTTTCAAATATTTCAGCACATCCAATGAATTTAATTTTTAATTTTAATTTGTTTGGTACAAACTGACAAAGCTAGAAAACAGCAAGAATAATGTGAAATATTCAATAACAAATATCCAAATCATACAATCATTCAAGCTACTGTAAGAAAAATTTGCAAAAAAAATCAGGATTATAAAGTAATTCAAACAGAGTTAAATTAAATGTTCAAATTCCCATCCATTGGTTTCTTGACAATACCCAAGCCTATGTACAAACTCATCTTGAACATTATTTAGTACGTTTCTATCAATATTCCTAATTACCTGCCTGATTCGGGTTTTTAAGTCGTCGATGTTTTGCAGTGGATTTACATAAAATATGGATTAACCCCATAAGAAGTAATCCAAAGGAGTGAGATCGGGTGATCTCGGAGGCCATTCTATTGGTCCCAGTCTTCCAATCCAACGCCCAGGAAAACATTCGTCTAAATAACCTCGGACTTACCGAGCAAAATGAGGTGGTGCGCCATTCTGTTGAAAATACAAGGTATCGCTTGGCATTTGTGTTTGGAAAAATTTGAATGACGGCGAGAATTAGATCAAACTGAAGGAAGGATGATTAATTATGCCTGCCCACATATTCAATTTCTGTGGGTACTGAGTATGTGCCTCAGTCATCCAATGAGGATTGTTTTGAATCCAATACCTGCAGTTTTGGCGGTTAGCAATACCATTCAACCAGAAAGTTGCCTCGTCTGAGAAAAGGATTTGCCGATGAAACTGTGGTGTGGGTTGCGGTCGGAAATGGTTTCACAAAATTGGATGCGGCGATCAGGATAATCTTCGTTGAGTTCTTGTACTAAATGAATTTTGCACGGGTGATATTTCTCTTTCGTCAAAATACGCAAAACTGATCTTTGGGAAATTGCATTTTCTCCAGCAATATCTCTGCTCGAGCTATGAGGATTTTCTTGCAACTGCAATAAGATATTTAACTTAATGTCCTCGTCTATTTTCACACTACCTATTTTGGGCATATCTTTTATGTGACCAGAATTTCGAAATTTCTTGGTAATTTTGCTTACAGTGGCTTGATTGATTGGATGATCTGGATACTTGTTATTGAATATGTCACACACTTCTTGTTGTGTTCTGGCTTTGTCACCGGGTTCCAAATAAATTAGAATTTCTATCCGCTGCGTTACTGTTAGATGCTCCATCTAGTTAAGTAATTGCACTGTCCTAAATAATAAAAAATAGAAATAGTGAACAAGGTACATCAGTTTCAACTGACTTTGATGTTACCTATTTAATATTTAGTTGCTTGACGACGGCTACAATGCGTCTTTTTCTGGAGAGTTTTTTGTTCTTTACAAGAAAACATGAAACGGTGCTAAAAATTTGCAAAATAATCTGACTCGTAATTTAAATAGTGACATTTAACAAAATCATATTTTATGCAATAAAATTATGCGTTTTTAGTTAAATTATACCTAAATACCTCACCTATATTTTTTACATTCCAGTCATTGCGTCCTAACGATCAAAATAAATCACCGAACCACTTATTTCTTATGGATTTTTCTGATTTGAAGCAACTTTCTGTGAACCACACAAATCTAAGATGGAAATACAAATGTGGTTTTATTTTAAAACCAGCAGGGTAAATCTCAGGGTAATTTTTGAAAATTCTATATTCTATATTCAGACGCCATTATCTCGAAAACGGTTAAAGATAGGTATAGGTTATGTTATATAAAAAATGATCAGAATTTCATGGAGAATTGAATAAAAATTTAAAAAAGTTGATGCCTTGATGTCATAACTTTTTTTTGGGCCACCCTGTATAAATGAAAATTGCTTCAGAAAATGCGCAACTAAAAATATAATTCGACGGGTCCGAGCGATTTTTCAAATAAGGAACATCTGATTTTTAAATAAATATATTCCATACTTTTGCCGCTCATGGTATATGTTCATTTGGGCAACAGCATATTTTAATTATTTACAATTTTATTATATTGACGGTAAATTTCGTTTCGTTTTAAAAGGCCTCCAAAATGCCATGTTCAAAATCTTTTCACACAACGTTGCAGAAATATTGCTCGAAAAAACATTGCTAGATATGAACAAACAACTCTAATGCATCATTATTTTGTGGTCCTCGAATAACAAATACATAGATCGCAATCAATGAAGCCTATTTCCGGAAAACTAACCTAACAAACGACGATCATACATCTCTTTACCTACGCCAAGTAACGACTTCTAGTTGCCCCATAAATAAACTATCTTAAATGTTAATTAAACCCCAAACTGCCTGGTCACATTCTAATATTCCGCAAAGGGAATTACGTTTACGGGGAAATTTTTGTGTAATTTACGAGGTGGAATTTGCCGGAGAGCAGTTTGGCGTGCAGCGCCATCTGGCGGTTGCGGTCGTAAATACGTGTTATGAGGTCTCAGTTTCCCGGATGAGGAGCGTCTACATTTGTCACTTTAATGACACCCTGTTTAGCGGTTGAGACGGACTGCCTTTGGTAGCGAGGATTTAAGCGGTTTACTAAAAATAATAAAAAGTGGTATTACGTCCTTGGGTGTAAATAAACAAAATAATTAAACTTCTCGACGAAGTCGATTTACTAAGCAAAATAGTCTTTTTTTTGTTACAGCACATTTTTTATTTTTCCAACGTTTCAGCTTTCTGAAGCCATCGTCAAGAAAATAGCAAATATTAATTGGTTGTTCACGTTTTAAACGATGTAGAACTTTCTTCCTTGGTCGGCCTTATCTCTCAAAAATGTCGTGTCGATACATCATCCCCAAACACCGCCACATTCTCGTTACAGTCAAATTTAGTGCCATATCGCGGTTAAAAATAATACGAAACCACACATATTGGAACTATAATGTGCACAGCACACAGTATCGAGTTTCCTTTATCTATTTTTCATTTGGATTACTTCTCCATAGTCTGGCGAGGTTAGCAGACTTATCTGGTTGCCGTCAAACTTGTCACGTCGCTATATATGTGATCCTAATTCGGACTTTTGTTTGTATCCGGTGTCGACTTTCTTGTCTCCAATGTAGGTGACTCAGGGATGGACTGGCCCAAAATGTTTCTAGAGAAAACTTTTTATTTTGTGTATACACATTTTTTCTGCTATTCCTATAGGCCTATAGCTTCTTGAGAAGCATTTTTGGAGTTGTGATTCTCAGAACTGTTTCCTTATATTCGAAATTAAAATCTATTGGCAGATACTATGGGACACCTTTCCTCAAGAACACTAATAAGT